ATCTACTTCCTCAATAGTAAGCAAAAAGTGCAACATTAACGCCATTAACTCTGGCTCCCTTTTGCTGCACATTTTGCTGCAGACAAAAGCGATGAATCAGAGAGACAAAACATGGCAGATTACTAGGGGGAGAAGGAAAAAAAGAGAAGGAAAAAAAATAATGATAAAATTATATTCAACGATGCCTAGCCACTGTCTCAAGAGAAGATGATTATGACGATGCAGATCGTGTCTGACCTAACTGTAGTACTGGACGTGAAGAGGAAAATTGGAGGGAATCACAATCCACAAAATGATGAATACAAAAGAACAGGGAAAATGAAACAAACAGATACCGGATCAGCAGATCTGGCTGAACCATGAATAAAAACGGAAAAGGACCGCCCTCAAGCCACATCGCTCTAGGCTCGCCCCAATCTCCCTATCTGATTCTCGAGGTCAACATCATCGTTTGTTGTTCCAACTAAAAGCCATCCCCCCTAACCCACCAGCGAATCATCTAATAAGCACCTGACGCATGAAAGTATCCCTGTGACCAAAGCGAAGAGAAGTGAGATTGAATCTGTAAGTACAACCCAATGAAACTGAGAGAGAGGAACCGAAAAAACAAAAGAGATAGTACCTTCGAGTGCCAAGAATATTCCGACAAATCAAGCTCAAAAGATGTAGCAGATCTGGGTCTCTGCAAAACTTTCTCATGCTTGTAAAATCCGCCCATTGCTGAACTTTAACAGTCTGAGTGGGATTCGACAACCGCCAAAGCCCAGCCAAATTTATAACAGTGACTCGTAACCTGAAGAAAAAAGCCCAAAAGAGAGGGATAGAGCAAAACCATTATCCCGCGTAAGTGTTCCCCCCCCCCCCCCCCCCCCTCCTCATCGATGGAGACTCTATGTCCAGAAGCAAATCTGAAAGTAAGATGGGGAATCAACCATGAAGACCTCACATCAAACCCATTGAAGAGAGAGATCGAGAGACTCAGAGAGAGAAAGATACACCTACCGATTGAAACTCACCAGCCTACCCTTTCAGCTCTACTCCGAACCCTCGCCAAACTTCCGAAATACAACACGATCAAACTCGAACCCCGCGTTCAATACCTCCCAGAGAAAGTCGGAGAAAAGAGGAAGAAAAACACAGTTAATTATCGAAACAAAAGGAGTGACTTAGAGAAAGCAAATCAACCAGCAATAGAAAACCCCACCATAAAAATCAGTTTGGTGTAGAGCTCTTGAAAAGAGGGAAAATGGAGCCGAGCGTGAGAATTGTCCAGGAGAGCGTGTCGAGTTTGTGAGAAGAGAGAAAATATAGCTAAGTGTGAGAATCGTCCACGAGAGCTCGAGAATCGTCGAGGATACGATCGGCGTCAAAACTGCAAGGGAGGATTCGATCGACGTTGAGATTGTGAGGAGAGGTAGAATGGGAGCTGAGCGTGCGAATCGTCCAAGAGAGAGAAAGAGTTAACAAATAAAGAAGCAAAAGCTGAGAGAAAGAGAATCGTCCGTTGAGATTTGGAGCAGGACTCTCCCTCTCTCATATCCTCTAATAAAGAAGCAAAAGCAGTGAGGAATATATTCAGCCTAAAACGATGAGATTTGGAGCAGAGACTCTCTCTCTCTCATAAGCAGGCAATCCCTCCTCGCCTAAAACGGAAAATTCTTGCGTCCAACCCCTGTTGGAGTTAGAGGCTCCAACCTGCCATTTGTCAGCCCCATATTGGCCAACCAACCTTCCTTTTCCCTTATTTTAATTATTTTTTATCCTTTACCATTAATCAAATTATGAATTAAAAATGAAAAAAAAAGCTTTGACGGAAACGACAAAGAGACGGAAGGAAGCTGGGAATGCAACTTCTGGATTATAATTTTTATGTATTTTGTATAATTTTATTTACTACTATTTTAAATTGATGTCAATTTTTCTCTTTTTTGCATGAAGCAATAGCAAATCCTCATTTTGATTATGAAAATTTGTGATAAGATTTATGTTTCAACCGCCATGGATTATTGACTTCGTTTCTTTTATTCGGATATTCTATTTATGTTTATGTTGGCACCGTAATACTAAGTATGGTGTTCAAATTTTTTTTTAAATTATTTATGATATTGTGAGATATTTTTTTCCGTATTTTGTACAATGGTCATATTAATGTGAAATTGTCAAAATATTTCAAAATTTGAACGCATAAGTATTTCAAAATTGGTTCTAGTGCACGAGCAATTTTTCGTATTCTGTTTATTTTTGTTGGGGTCAAGTTTTCCTATAGAAGAACATATAAACCTAAGATATACCTAATTAAATTATAATCCAGAAGTTTTTTTTTTCATTTTTAATTCATAATTTAATTAATAATAAAGAAATAAAAATAATTAAAATAAGAGAAAAAGGAAGTTTGGTGGGCCAATATGGAACTGCCAAATGGCAGGTTGGAGCCTCTAGCTCCAACGGGGGTTGGACGCAAGAATTTCCCGCCTAAAACGACGCAAAATATTCAGCCTCTATTTTGGAGAAAGTCACCCATTTGAGGCCGGTGCACTTTTATGGCAGAGAAAAGAAGCAATAGAGAGAGGGTGGGTTGCAGACTTGCAGCTGCGAAATGATAACAAGGCAGGCTGACACGCTTTCTGTGACAGCTGCAAAGTGACAGAGATGAAGGCCCAGCCAAACCAACCAACCAATTAGAGGGAAAATTTGAGAGAAGCAGAGAAAGAAAAGCAGGAAAGCAGAGAGCGAAAGGGAAATGAGTGCTGATTTGAGGGCAACTCGCCACTCACAGCAAAAATACAATGGACAATAAATACAAACCCAACAAACAATAGCTAAACACAAAGGTTGTAGAATAGGAGATTGGGGTAAAATAAAATTTTGGAACTTCCACACTTGCAAGGAGGAGTGTGAGAGCTAGGGCTGCAAATGAGTCGAGCTGCTCGCGAGCGACTCGGCGTTCGACTCGAGAAAAGCTCGTTCGAAACTCGACTCGTTAATAAACGAGCCGAACACAAGCTCACCTTTGTTCAGCTCGCGAGCTAGCTCGACTCGTTGGCTTGTTGAGCTAAACTCGTGAGCTGGCTCGTTTAGAGCTCATGATATGTCTTAACATGTGGCTAGAGAGCCAACTCAATTACCAACTTATGAATGAATCAATCTATATCTTATGATTTTAATTCATATGCTTATTAAATTATATATCTCGCCATATATAAAGTTTAACATGTTGAGTAAGTGAGTAAATATATCTTATTTTCTATTTTAAAAAGAAATTATGCATCATAGATTGCTTCAATATTATGAAATAACATGATTTGGAGCAGTTATAATTTATTAACTAAATGAATATGATACCAACAAAGTATAATATGAGATTAGCTAACGAAATAAATCATATGTATCATGATATACAAAATGAAGTACCAAATAAAATTTAAGATTTTAATAAACAAGCTAGCTCGAGCTCGACTCGTTAATAAACAAGCTGAGCTCGAGCTCAACTCGTTTATTAATGAGCCAAGCTCAAGCTGGAGTAAAATTCGACTCGACTCGGCTCATTTGCAGCCCTAGTGAGAGCTACTAATAAATAGTAACTCAAGCTTAGACTTTTATATATGAATATATGAATTAGCTACTAGCAAAGCAATTTGAATTTGTGACTTTTTGATGGAAGACTAATGGTTTACTGCTAGACCAAATACTTAATTTCAATCAACTGCTTCATTTTACAAAATATAATTTACATGAAAATAATACTTTCACTTTTGGATCAACTTTAAATTTAGGGTTAATACTTTAGTTTTGCCGAACTATAGACAAACTTTCTACTTTGGTCCGTATCGAAAATTACTATTCGGGCCTAAACTATGTAGCATACTTCCTTATTTTTCCCGAAGGCGGGTTTGACCGTCAAATTAGACGGTCAACCGAGTTGACAGTTAGTCAAGGTCCACCTCACTTGCCACGTCAGCTATCAGGGAATAAAAAATTAATTATATTTATTTCTCAATTTTTTTAATTTATAATAATAAAAATAATAAATTAAAAAAATTAATTTCAAAATTTTTTCCTGAATTTATGTATTTTTTCTTCAATAGCTGAATTTTGTTTACTTTTTGGATGAATTGAATTTTTCTTGAATTTCTATATTTTTTTAATTTATGTATTTTCCCCAATAGCTGAATTTTGTTTACTTTTTGAACAAATTGAATTTTTTTAGTTTATTATTTTTATTATAAGAAAGTAAAAAAAATACAGAAATTCAAAAAAATAATTTTTTATTCTCTGCTCGCTGATGTGACAAGTGAACTGGACCTTGACTAACGGTCAACTTGGTTGACCGTCTAATTTTACGGTCAAACTCCCCTCCGGGCTAAATAAGGAACTATGCTACATAGTTCAGGTCAGAATAGCAATTTCCGATACCACGGACCAAAGTAGAAAGTTTGTCTATAGTTCGAGCCAAACTAAGGTATTAACCCTTAAATTTATTTCTTTTTAAAAAAATTGTTCTCATGTACTCGCGAAGCGGTAACGAGCGGATTTTTCTAGTAGTATTAAAACTAAACCTATATCACACGTAAAGAAAAGACAAAGTGTTCGTGGCCAGGAATCTAGAAACTGCAATGCTATATATGCTCCTTTCAACTGTTGAAGGTTTTAATTGAAGTCCAGATAGGTCAAATCCGAAGACATTAGCTAAAATAATTGAGCCTATCTTCACACCTCGACCGCGCAATGTGGAAACTGCTGCTAGCCACACACGGCTCCTTGTTCCATTTTCTCCCACGCTTACATGACAATAATGAAAGCAGGTTTGAATTTACTGGAAAAAATAGCACTTTCAACAAATCTACGGTACACAACCCTTTAATTCAATCGATCATAAAAGAAAATTTGCCCTTCTAATTAATTACGTTGGTAGTGGTATAAATTAAAGAGCTAGCACCAACTGATCAACACAGGCGGCCGGGGGAAAAAAACAAAAAAAAAAAAAATACAGGGGGGGAACAATGGCGACTCTCCCAAAATACTCAGTTCATGATCGCCTCTCCGAGCTGAAGGCTTTCGACGAAACGAAAGCCGGAGTAAAGGGGCTCGTGGACGCAGGAATCACTCACATCCCTCGAATCTTCCACACGCCGCCTCATCTCCACGATCAGAGGCCATCAGTTCGAGCCGATCAAGGTTGCAACAACTTCTGCTTCCCGATCATCGACCTTGAAGGCGTCGGCGGGCTGGGTACGGACAAATGGAAGCGCGTCGCCGAGGAAATCTGCGACGCGTCGTCCAAGTGGGGATTTTTCCAGGTGGTGAACCATGGAATTCCTACAAGCGTACTGGAGGAGATGAAGGCTGGAGTCTTGAGGTTTCATGAGCAGGATCTCGATGAGAAGAAGCGATTCTTCTCCCGTGATCCTGCTCGAAAAGTTGCTTACAATAGCAACTTTGATTTGTATAGCGGGCCGGTGGCTAACTGGAGGGACACCAACTACTATTACATGGCCCCTGACCCTCCTCTGCCAGAGACGATACCACCACCTTGCAGGTTATACATAGAATAATTAACCATGATTTGATTTGATTTGATTTAATTTATAGAATAGGTGTGTTTCTACTGGTTAAATCTGGTTGCATAGTATCAGGACTGAGCGTTGGAACTTGGGAGCTAGCTTAAGACTCGAGGTCTCGGTTCGTCCTTTGACTTTTGAAATTTATGATAAACTAAAAATGAGATAAAATCTAGAAGTGATAAAATACACTAATTAAGTAGCGCCTAACAAAAACGATGCATTTCCTTCTATCTTAGTGGAGGTATTGTCATTATATAGGTGATTGGTAATGGGGTTAATACCAATAGTAACAACATTAATTAGTTCACTTTTTTTTTTGGTATAATGGTGAAGAACTTTATTAATAAAATGAAATAAAGAAGAACAATGTTAGTTCTGTTTTACTTTTCATTCGTTATAAAATCAATTTGATCACTTAAATTTTATATTACGATTTTGAAAATACTTCAAACCAAAATTATGTTAATTTAGTCAATTAACTTTCATGCTTCAATTTTTCAAATCTTTCAAATTTAAACTATTTCAATTAATTCTACGTTGATTTTGTAAATTCTTTAAATTCAAACTATATCAACTAAATTCTTCAACTTTAATTCTCATTAAAAGAATAAATTTTGTTGTATAATGAATAAATTAGTGTCAATTTTATACAAAGTCAATTAACTTCATAATTTATCTTTTTGCGGCATTTTATTCCAAAATAAATCAATCTGGTTCTTCAAATTACATATTCATACTTGCTTAAATAATTTTTGGATATATAATGAATAAATTAATTTCTTCAAATACAAATATTAACAGATACTTACCTTTCACATTTTGAAAAGAAAGAGTAATATGCTAATTTACTCATTCATAATGATTAATGAACATATCATTGTAGCACTTTTTATTTAATATTTTATTTTTAGAAATTTCAATTATCTAAAGACAACATCTTGTGCGGTTATGAAATGAAAACATCCCTTTAGGGGTCGTTTGCTTCAAGGATTTGGTACATGGATTTGGTACAAAAAAACCAACTATCATGGATTTAGGTACAATCCGTTGTTTGCTTGCACCTTTTTTGGAGACCAAATCCGTGGGGCCCACGGATTTTAAGGATCCAAATCCGTGGTCGCCACGGACTTGTAAATCCCACTTGTCGATGTGGGATTTGGAATATGACATAAATCCTTGATGAAATTTTACCCATATACCCTCACGCACTTTTATTATTCCAAGGTTGCCCTCAAATTTAACTATTATACATTATAATTAACTATAAATGAATAATATAAACGTTCAATTAATGTGCAAACATGAGTTAGATTTTTTATATCATTTCTTGTGTTCTAGTTTTCTTTGACCTTTTCATGGAACGTGTAATTCTTTGTTCTCCCGATTCTAATATATGTTGTTATATGTTACTTTTGAAAAGGAGGACAAAGAATTGGTAATTGATTATGTTACGTTAAAAGTTAAAACGGAATTTTCTCGTTTATTATTATTGTCCATGTGGCAATATTATGCTTATTAGTATGTATTGTCCTTATTTTGTGTACATATCATAAACATGTCAAACATATAGAAAATGATAGTAAGGTAATTTTGAAGTTTTGTCCTTGTTTTGTGTACATATCATGAACATGTCAAACATATAGAAAAAGACAGTAATGTAATTTTTGACTTCAAGTAGTAAATCCCACACCTTTAAATTCATGATAAAAACATCCCAACATACAAAGGATTATTACAAATCCATGATGCCTCAAATCTTTGATAAATCCTTGGGTTTTTAAATTACAAGACCCTCATTTTTAAATCCATGAAACAAACGACCCCTTATATTCCTTTTTACCTTATTAGGATCATGTAATAATAACTTCGCCTCCAATCCCCAAATACTGGCTTCGCTTCTGGGGCCTGAGTACATAGTATGGTGGTCTCGCTGTAATATTTCACGTATTGTACTCTCCTTAAAAATGGTGGCATCTTTTCTTCGTTGCATGTGGATGTAGCTAATAAATATTATGTTAGTGAATCACATAGTTTGATCAAATGTCAGTCTCTTTTCTTATTTTGTCAAATTGAAATTTGCATCCGTTGTCCACTAGCTTTTATTTGAATCGCTATATCCATCAAGAAAAAGTTGTGGTGAAGATGGATTTGTTACTTGTTGTGCAGAGAAATCCTGATAGAGTACTCGAAGCAATTGGAGACACTAGCAAGTCTACTCTTCCAATTGCTGTCGGAGGCTTTGGGTCTACCAACAAATTACCTAGAAGAAATGGACTGTGCAAAAGGGGTAAACGTAATGTTGCACTACTACCCAGCGTGTCCGCAACCAGAACTGACCATGGGAACGACCAGGCACACCGACACCAACTTCATCACCATCCTCTTGCAGGACGATATCGGTGGCCTTCAGGTTCTTCATCAGGATCACTGGGTTGATGTGCCTCCAATGCCTGGAGCTCTAGTGGTGAACATCGGAGATCTGCTTCAGCTCGTATCGAACGACAAGTTCTTAAGTGCGGAGCACAGGGTGCTGGCAAGTAAAGTCGGGCCAAGGGTATCTGTGGCTTGCTTTTTCAGCACGGGTCTGCTGCCAAACGCCAAAGTGTATGGACCCATCAAAGAGTTGTTGTCGGAAGAGAATCCTCCGAGGTACAAAGAAGTGACGATTCCGGAGTTCGTTGGGTACGTGAAGGGCAGGGGTCTCGATGGGAGTTCTGTTCTGCAGCATTTCGAGCTCCGATCCGCGAGCTAGAGCATTTAGAGCTACATGCATGCATGTTAAAGATCAATAAAGTGTTAGGGAGGAAATGATCAGAGTGGAATGGAAACAACATATATACTATGCTATTTCAATACAGTAACGAAATAAAATATTGTAACGAGCACCAATTTATGGAAAGAGCTTTCCCATCACCATATCTCTATTGTCAAGGTCGCTGTCCTGGTTCATCTGGGTACTGTCCTCGAGTAATAGAACCAGTTATATTGATTGACTTATATAAATTGACAATCGTCATTTCAATTACACAATAACTTCCTCATTGGGTTTTGGTCAGATAAGTGCTTTCACTTCACACCACAGTTTACACTCCATGTAATCAACCACATCTCCAACTTCCCGAAGATCTTCTAGATAAGGCAATTGTTCTAAGGACTGAGCCAACAGCCCAGGTGAAAATTTGTATCAGTTGAGGCTTGAGAGGCAAATTTGACAATGAATTATTGTAGAGGCGCATATTTGGGAAAAGTTATATCTTTAAAAGAACAAACAACATGTTACTATTTGGTAGAATCGGTTCTATTGGTCTTTTCTCCTCACATCTTTGGCTTGTGTTGTATCTCTAACGATCTATTCTCTGTCAGTATTCTGCTTCTGTTTTTCCTCTGCACTCTCTGTTGCCTACTTGCCTCCTCTTAATTCCTTCCCCAACAATGTTTTCTCTCTCTCCCTTGAGGGTATGATTGGTTTCTTTATTCTTCCCTTTTTATTTTTCGTCGAACCTCACCCAAAACCACCATTTTCAATCTTCACAAATCTTCTTCCTCTCTCCTCATGAGAAAACCCACAACAACCAATTTTGATCTACACAAATTTTCTTTCTTTCTTCTCCTTTCTTGCTCTGATGACGAGAATTTCCCAAAGATTGCTCTCCTCCACGTCATCGCACTCTACTTCTTTTCTGAAATTATCTTACTGTTTCCAGATTTATGGAAAAAGAATCCGGCGAGAGGCTTAGAAGGAGGAAGGAACAAGAATGAGATTTCTGGAAAAAGAATCCGGTGAAAGAATCAGAAGGAGGAAGGAAAGAGAATGGGAATTAGAATGTGCTACTCTTTTATTGTTCTGTAGTTTGTTGTTCGATTTTTTGATGATTTTGAAGATAATAGTCATGCACACCTAGGTAACTTTTTGATGATTTAGTTTGTTATTTCTCCAACTACTATATAATTGAATGGCCTGATGGTTGTATAAGTGGGAAGGAATTCTTTGATTGAAGCAAGGTGGTGTTTGGTCTTGGTAGGGAGGGAGAATTACTTCATTGTCTCATATACGACATAGAATAGGAAAGCTGATCAAGTCAATGACCATTGAACTTGCACATTTTAACAAAAACAAGGACATATTCCTTTTCTTTTATGCCCTAATGCTCATAAATTTGCACAACTCACGAAAACCTTTCACACATGCAGTGGAATATGAAGGCATTCTAAGCCAAACTGAATTAGCATATTTTAATGTGTTTTACTTCGTTAATCTGTTTCCGCACAATAATTGTGTCTTTTGGGAAAATTGCTATATGTGCCCCGTGAATTCTCCATTATGACATCACAAACTCCCTCCTGACGCGGATCGTGGATTTCCTTACTAGTACATAGTAAAGAAGCAAAGGGCCGGTTTTTGTCTTTCTCTCCAGTTGGGCATGAAGTCCAAACCTTGGGAATCTTTTGTCTGCTTCCTCTGTTGGGTCTTGCAAGGTTGCTAATGTTCAGAATTCACTTAGGCCTTGGATCGGTCCAAGTTTTCTCCTGTTCATCCATCTGTTGGTTAATCAAGTTTGCCTGTGCTTTTTCACTGTTTATCTGTGCATTTAACGTTTTGCTTGTGCATATATATATATATATGGATCATTAATGATTTTGAGTAAAATCAAAAGTAGAATATACTTTGAGTAAGAATCACCAATTAGTACATCTTTGTGTTAGTAAACGGTATATGATTCACGATTGAACATCTCCCTACAACTCGAGTTATTGGGATCAAGTGGTTCTTCATATGGTATCAGAGACTTCTGCGACCGAGAAGTCTTATGTTCGAATCCCGATGACCCCATTCTTATTCAGTTAAGCACATAGTGTCCAGACTTGTGTTTGTGCAAACTCCAAGCCTATCTGAGTGGCTTGAGTTTGAGGGGGTGTGTTAGTAAATGATATATGATCCACGATTAAAACTCTCCCAACAACTCGAGTTATTTAGATCAAATAGTTCTTGATACTTTGTCACAATCATCATCTCCTATTCAGTACTTTAGTTGAGTAAATCTATGAGATTTACAAAACCATACATAAAGCCCTATCTTATACTAATAGGGTAAATGACAAGGTTGGTCACTGAGATTACTAAAAAAGTTCATGTTTGGTCACTAAAAATATTCAATTTCATTCGTGGTCACTAAGTTTATTAAAACATGTCATGTTTGGTCACTCTCTGTCCAACTCCGTTAACTTTGTCTAATGTGGCAGTCAACTCTCAGAGTTGACAGTTAAATATATGACGTGACAATTAAAAATTAATAATAAATATATTTTAAATATTCCACCTCATTATTACTACTATTAAAAATTAAAAATATTCATTTTAAATCCCTAAACACAAGGAACTAATCTCACCCCTCTTTCTCACCGTTGACTAAAAGAGGGCGTCGACCCAATCATTTGACAAAACAGAGCAAAGAAGCCGCCATGAATCCTTACCAGGTCTTATGTACATTTCTATTCCTAAGTTCAAAAAGCTTCCTTTCTGGGAATTGTTTGCTTGCTATATCAAACTCAGCATATGATGAAACGGGTAATTAATTCAACAATGGGAGCAATAATCCTTACTAAGTCTTCGGCCTGATTTCTAACTACGAGGGGACATTCACTCGCCAACCCCTGTCGCTAGATCCCAGATCCGAACCCTGCCCAGACCCGACCCAACGGATTCGAGTCCTCTCCAAATACGTCACAATCAACAAATCCAAAAACACTTCCATCCGCCTCTTCCTGCCCAAGCAACCAATCACCGATTCTTCTCCTCCTCCGACCAAACTGCCTCTCCTGATGGTCTACTTCCACGGCGGTGGGTACGTCATTTGCAACCCCGCCACAGCCAACTAACAGATTGAAAATCAATTTCAACGGTCATCTTCCCTGCGACGTCGTTCCTCTCTCTCGTTCCCGGACTTTTCACTGCGCTGCCGTTTCCTCCCTTTCGCTGCGCTGTCGTTTGGAACCAAGTCAAGATGCTCTTGTTGCGATGTCTTTTGATGTAATGCGCTGCGTGTTGTTCTTTCCCAGTTGATACTTGTATTTCCTTTCGTTCCAAGCCAGTAGTTGTTTCCATTCCAAGCTACAAAACAGATGTATGAACTTTGTCATCTTCTTCCTGGTTCTGCCTATAAATTGGCAGTGAAAGTAATGAGAAAAGCAGTGAGCTAGGTTTTATCACTCCAAATTTCCTTTGTTATGGTATCGGAGCCTCTGATAAAACCCTAGCCGCCACCCTTCTACAATGGCTGACAATGAAGCTCAGCCTCTACCTGATCCACAACCAAATGTTGTGGATCCTTCTTCTGACCCCTTCTTTCTTCACGGATCCGAGAAACCTAGAGCTCTCCTTGTTGCTGAGAAGCTCACAGCTACCAATTACAATGACTGGAGCAGGGCAATGTTCAATGCCCTTGCTGCAAAAAACAAACTCGGCTTCATCAATGGAACGATCACAGAGCCAGCAGCTACTGATCCAAGGTATAGAGCCTGGACTCGTAACAACGTCATGATCCTCAGCTAGATCCAACAGTCTACTTCTTCAGAGATTCGAAAAACCATTCTAGCCTGCAAAACAACTTCAGAAGCATGGAAGAGCTTACAAACTCGTTATGGATCTGGTGACCTCATTCGCATTGCAGAGCTTGAAGAAGCACTTTCCTCCCTGCAACAAGGTAACCAAACTATTACTGACTACTATGGCAAACTTATTACTCTCAAGGATGAGTTAGAGAACTATCAACCACTTCTTCCATGTACCTGTACACCTACTAGTCACATTGATTGCGTTGCCATGACAAGAGTTCTTCAATACCAAGAAACTAGTTATGTAATCAAGTTTCTTCGAGGTTTAAATGAAAACTTCTATTGAGTAAGAGCCCAAGTGCTGTTTGGTGATGAACTTCCCAACATCAATCGTGTTTTCCAAAGAATGTTGCAACATGAAAGACAGATCTATGGATCTCAATCCAACAAAATGGTGGCCTCTCTCCACTCAGACCAGTCGGCATTTGCCATCCAAGGAGGTAACAGAAGATTCAACTCCTCTGCTAAACCACCCTACTGCACATTATGCAAAAGAGAAGGGCACACTGAGGATATATGCTTTCAAAATCATGGATGGCCACCAGGAATGACCAAACCTTCCTTTACTTCAAGTTGTACTCCAATGACTTGCACCTACTGCAGAAGAAGAGGCCATACCGAGGACAAGTGCTTTCAGAAAAATGAATATCCACAGAATTTTGTACCTAGAATTCCAACTTCTGGGACTGGTAGAGGTCGACCTACTGCTGCCAATGCTGTCACCAACACTTCTTCATCTGATGAGGTCAAGCTCATCAGAGCAGACTATGACAAACTCATGAGTCTGATGAATGCTTAGAAGAACCAACCTTCTTTCTCTGCTGCTACCTTTGTCACCAACAAAGGTATACTTCCAACCCCCTCTCTCTCAATTCCTATCTTGAATGCTATCACCAATCTACAAAAACCAAGGATTGTTGACACTGGAGCTTTAGACCACATAGTCTGCTCCTTAGACTACTTAACCAATCCACAGCCTTTGTCCAATGTGTTCATCACTCTCCCCACTGGAGCTCAAATTCAGGCCACTCACACTGGCACAGCCAAATGCCATGATACCTTGACCCTACACAATGCCCCGTTTGTTCCCCACTTTACCTTTAACCTTCTATCTGTGAGCAGAATGACCTCCACAACACC